TACCTACTTATAATATTATAAACTTTAAACTAAATCAACTCAAATTCTTCATAATCAAAATACTACTCAAAAAACTATCTACTTACTCTTTCTATAATACTTTTTATCCTACTATCTTTCAGAACATTAACTGTTTCCACTGTAAAGCATTAGATTCACCTTTACACTGGCTTAACTGTTCTAATTCAATACTACTTATATATATTATTAATATATGTATTACTAATTATATTAACTCAGTCGAATTAAAGACCAAAAGGCTGAACTTATCTACCAAATTCAACATCATGAGACATTTAATTCTGTAGCAATACAACTTTCTTCACATTGCTTAAAACTTATATTTAAAGGTTTAATCCCCAACTCTATAGTTCAAACAGTTCAAGACTTTAATATATCCTATAAACAAGCATCTTATATTATTATTAAATTGTTTTTTAAAATTAATAAATAAATATATAAACAACTTTGGAAGCCCTATTGTATTAACTTCTCTAATTGGAGAAAGCAACAATAAATAACATATCTCTACTATAAATCTAAAGAGATACCACCAACTACTCATAGAAATAACTACTCTCAGATAAATTATACTTACTCCTGTCTATGTGACACAGCAGATCAACTACACTTCCACTCAGGTACCTGTCCTCCCTTGGGTTAAGCTATATGAAAAATTGGTATCTGATATAAATACTGAATCAAATATAGTTTTGCTTTAAATTTTATTCCAACTTTAAGAATCTAGGTAAGTCTTTGACCATTCTAGTGGGTTTAGATCGTAGATAAATATATCTAAGCTTCTATTCTTGCATGTAATTTTTATTTTTATTTGTACTTGTACAAGTAGTAAGTAGTATTTCTATATAACTTTTATGTAATTACTTTTTTCAAAATTACTAATAAAGATATGAGCAAGGCCTTACCTCAATACCAAAAAAAAAAAATTTATAAAATTAGCCAATAAGACAAAATTTGTTATTATATAACACAGGTCACATGATATTAGTAGCAACTACTACTAATACTAAATACTGTAGTAATTTTTAAAAAAATTATATTAAACAATTTTTTGAATATTTATCAGATTTTTGTATATAAAAAAATTAACTTTTTTAATTTTTTAGTTTTTTTTATAAATTTTTAAAAACATACTAGAACTAGTACAAAAATGTAAATCCAAACCATTAATATTATATTAAACATAAAATCAAATTAAAATAGCTTTATAGTATATTTAAACAAATTTAAAGCTATATACTTTGTTTTTAAAAAAATAGTAAAAAAAACTTTTATTGCTATAGTTTTTTATCAAGCTTCATTAATAGAATACATTATATTGTAAGTAGAATCAAAATTTAAGATTTATTAAAAATTTTAAGATTAGGGTGAGTTTATATAAAGTAATTATACGTACCCAAAATTATAATTTTATTAACGTTATTAATAAATTCCAAATCCACTTAAATTCCGTTTCCACCCACGTACGTACGTACGAACATATCCGATATACAAGTTCAAGCAGTGTTAATTGTATACGTAATACGTATTTCGAATCTAAAGGTAGATGGTCTCTAAGCATAATAAGTTTCACCAAAAAATTATTGATTACTAATCATCGGCAAAGGCCTAGCGTTAGTGAACAAACTACCAAAAAGAGGAAGATTCGCTACTCCCGTGGTGTATTCCGAAACTCATGCCTAATAAGCATAGTTTACGCCTAAGATGAATGACTCTCAAAAACTTGGTACGTATCGGTATACATTTGATGTAGTGTGTCCGCAATAGGGAACTTAAGAACAAACGCGATTATTTTCAACCACGCGCAATTCATGCACGGTGACACTATCTGTTCTAAACACATGATTGCAATTACTACAATTCGAGAATAATTGCATGCTATGCTAAATTGAATCTTCATTGATTGTTTTCAATTGTGTATCCGATGTACAGAATCTAAATTGATAAGATGTCTAGATTTTTTAGTGTCAGGTTTCTCACCTATTTAAGCCATTGCTAGAACCAATTCGGCCTTTCTAAAAATGAATTTAGGTTCAAAAGATGGTTCGGCAAATAATCCTCGACCAAAAGTCAATAGTACTATAATGAACGCTGCTGGTTTAGCTTTTAACCAAGCAAAAAACCAAGACTTTCATCGTAATACGCCTTTAACAGACAAGGAGCATATGAATAATTCTCGTTCTTTTACCGATTCATTGAAAGCTTTAAACACTGAAGCCATTGAATCACCCAACCAGAGTGATAACACTGGTTCCAGCTCAGACGAAGCCGAATCTTCTAATTCCTCAATAACTAGAGTTGAGCAACATAATATAATTAACAGACCTAAAGCAAGAGCTGACTCAATTATTAGTTCAAGTGTTAGCAATATGACAGGTGGTCATTCAGATGATGCTAATCAGCACAAAGACACAGAAAAAGACACTGCCCCCAAAAAAGCACGCGCAAAAGTTTCCGCCAATATGATTATTTCTGACTTTAATAGTATTTTTCCGCAGAAACAAGGTCAGAATAATGATTCTATACTTTTTAGCCCCACGTTACGGAATCAATTAGATAGTCGTTCTGAAGTATCTCGTAGTAGCGATCCAAATCGTAACAACGCTGCGCGGCGACCTAGGGTCAACACCACAATGATACATGATGAATCTGAAAATTCCCGCTATAGACAAAATACAAACTCTGATCGAAAAGTTCTTTTTAGCTCTAGTTCCGATGCACCTTTCAACTACGCTCGTTCAGATGTTTCATGGGGAAGTGACCCCGGTCACAATATGAATACTAAAAGATCAATGTTGAAATCAAACGATGATATAAGTCATCAGTATAACCATGAAAATTCATCTTTTAACACAAATGAATGGACCACTTCTCGACCATCAAGAGTGAAGAACAAAGCATTTGTCGAATTCGATGATTCTTCTCACTATCAGAGTGACACATTTTCACATAACATTCAATACCAATTGAATCCCAGATACAACACAAGGTCTCCTCCCAGTACTCCTAAAACCTGGTCCGATGTTGCATATCGCCAGGTGGAAGCTCGAACTGAATTATCTAATCGAAGTGATCCAGGTCCACCTGGGCATCTATTCCAACGCCGAACATCGGAAAACATAGTATCACGTGTTCCTGATGCAATCGACGAACATGGTACATTTAATTCCAATTATCAGCCTACTACAAAATCGCGTAGGCCTCGAGTTTCTGCAAATTCAATTGTAGATGTGACGAACATTCAATCTAATCCTCGAAGTGTTGCAACTTATGAAGACTACGAAACAGAGGATAAATACTATGATGATGGCGGTGACAATAATGATGAACCTGTTAATGAGGTTGAGGAAAATCCTGTTGAAGAGCAGGACGAAGACCAAGAAGAACTTAGGGAATTAATGTCGTTATCTTCAGATCCTAAAATTCAACGCAAAGTATGTCATTTATAATCTTCACATTTTGTTTTAATACTGTTAAGAAATTATTAAATACTTTCTATGTTGTTTTAAAGTTTCTTGATCTCAGAATTTCTAATAAATCACTCATGTCGATAAATGCTACTCTCACCGCCACTGTTGAAGACCAATCCAATAAAATAGCCAGTCTTACTTCATTTGAATCGATCGTTGCTTCGCAACAGCAGCAGCTTGATCATATTATTAAGATTGAAGAATTACTGCGTGTTATGTCTAATAAAATTTCTGAACAAGAAACGGATATTAAATCGCTTAAATCTCAGATAGGAGAAACTTCGTAAGTATTTGCGAATTTGTTTGACACATACCCATATATATATATTTGACTTTATATTTGTCTAAAACTTTGATGAACGGAAATAGCGAGGAAAAACAAAAGGTGAGTCGGATAATCTTGAATACCGAATCCGATTTCGATTCAAGTTTTTTTCTGGCAAAAGTTATTCTGTTTTCTTTATTATTATTCGGAACAATATTTATGTATCTATATTTCGGGAACATATGGAAATTATAAGGGCAATGTGACTTTATTCTACGACCCAAAACTACTCCCTCTAAACTCGCTTCCTCGTATCATTTTTGATAGAGGTAACTATTTACTGTTTTATTCTATTGTAAAGAATTTAGTTAATAATTTTAATTTATGAATGTCTTTATTGTAGCTTACGATGATGTTACAGTCCTTTTTACTGTGATAACATCATTACTTTATACCATTTACATTTTTCCGGTGATTGTATTAGCTAAATCAGCTAAACGGCTAGCTGAAAGGTCTAGAGCAAAAATTCAGGAAATAACAGGATGAATATATATATATATGATGTATTTTATGATTTATTTTGATTGAACTTTTATAAGATTTAGACTTTTTTTTTTTTTGTTCTAAACTTATTAGCTATATCACCCTTTACATATTACAACTACATACTATTTCCTACTACCACATTAATCGCCAAGTTGTTTAAATCACATCTATAACCTATATGACAAGCTATTAGTCTATTGGTTGACTTGTAACTATATATATATTTGTTAGTATTACGTTATTACGTTGTTGTACTTAATAAAGTGAAACGAAGCCCTACTCAGCATTAAAAAGCTACCATCGTAAGGCCATACAAATTTAATGTCTTGGTTTTTATGACATGTGACTTTTAAATGAACGTGGCCGGCCGACTTTTTTTTAAAAAATGAAAAGTCCACCGGTTATTAATAATAGGAAGACATTCGTGTGTTGGCTAATTTGCATTTTTGCAGCGAGGACTCATTTATTTGATCAAACTTGAATGCGCATTTATTAATTTTTTTTTCCTATTTGCGGTGCCTCCTTGGCCTCAGCTCTGGGCTACAGGCGACCAATTGGTTGACCAGAGGTGACTTGTTTAGAAGTTATGCTGGCCTCTGCACTATCACTTCGTTCGGCTTAGGGCTACTTTACCCTCGAAGGAATTCCGACCAACTAGCGCTTGTACTTTTTACAGTCTACCCTGGATTTTCTAATAAATTTTCCAACCCTTATAGTGTTCTTCCCAGCCCTGGTACTATAACTTTTACTACCTCACCGGTGCCTAGTTCCTATTCCCATTTTCGTCTCTAGATTTCGGTATTCACGGTTTTAGTATCATCGAAGACTTGGCTTACATCATTATTCGGGATTTCTCGAGTGGGTTTTCTAATTCCTTCCGGATTTATTCGTGCCAAAGGTACTTCCATCATACGCCGTAGAAGATGAATTACAGTTTACCATCTGGACATTCGAGTTAGGTTACCGTTGATTTATACTAATATTTTTCCATGTTTTTTTATAAATAGGACTCGAACCCCGGGTCACCTTGTGGGGTTCACACAATCTAACCATTATGTTAGATTATTAAAATCGTATATGATATGAGTGGGAATGGAATTTAAGTGGATTTGGAATTTCCTAGTTAAATTAAGGTGTACATATGATAAAATCAACCCCCAAAAACGGTGGTTTTTTATATAAATTCCGAATCCACTTAAATTCTCTTTTTATTTACAACATATATGAGTAAGTTACAGCAAAAGGTGGCTTCGGGACGACCAATCAAAAATAGAGATTTTATAGAATAGCTAATTAACAAATCGATATTTTTATAAAAATAATTTATGATAATGATAATTATATACTAAAGCTATATTTTGCTATAGGTTTTTCTATATATTGTTTTTTTTTGTATTTTTTATTTTTATTTTTATTGATTTTTTGTTATTTTTATTTATTTTATTTTTATTTTAATTTTTTTTTATATTAGCAATTCTGTTTTTTTTTTGTTTTTTTTTGATATTAAGGTGATCTCTTGGTCACATTCCTTTTATTTGATTATAGTTTAACTTTTACAGTATAGTATACACTATATTGTATACATATTTGAAGAGTACAATTAGTCACATATATAACTTTTGGTTGTCTATTTAAGTAGTTTACATATATAATACATTATGGGTTCTACATTAGATATCATATCTATAACCTAATTAGGAAGATATTTATTTAAACCTTCTGTAGTTGATCTTTAGTATAGGTGGGTATATATAATTATTATACAATTATAATAAATATAAATTAACTATTTTGAACTAATTTAGGTAATTTAATAAATTATTAGAGTTAGAGTTAAGGTTAAAATTTTTTTTTTTTTATTTTGAATTTGCTGTATACATGATAAGATTAGTTACAGATTTATATCAAGATGATATTAATTT